ATCCCCGGCCAGGGTGCTGACCACCTGGCACAGCAGACCTCTCCGTCTGGCCCGCTGCCCTCTCAGCAGTGTATCTCCGTGGATCTGCCTGTCCTGCTCCCCACTCTGGCTCAGCTGTCCTCTCACCGACCCCGCCCCCAGCTGCAACTCTGGCCTATACCACAGTTTTTGTACAAATAAATAAGTATTAAAAAAAAATTACACAATTCTACAAACAGAGCATTTGTTTAGACTACATTTATAAGCACTTTAATTTAATGTTAATTTTTTCTCTCATTAATTATTCATCACAATGAAAACATTTTGGTCTTTCAGATTCATAAGGAAGACAACTTTTTAAATTACAAAATTAGAAGTGTATCAAAAAACAGAACCCAAATCTAAACACAGAATTGTTAAAAAAAAAAAAAGTTTAAAAGAAAAAGAAACAGGGCCCTCCCTGTTGGCACAGTGGATTAAAGAACTGCACTGAGAAGACAAAGCCACTTCAGCATGAGTCCAATCCCGAGCCCCAGAGGTGACCCACATGGCGCGGCAGACCTCTCCTGACCCCCCGCTGCTCCCCATGTTCTGTCCCCCACTCTGTCTCTGGTGAAATCGCTTACCAACCCTGTAACTCTGGCCTTTGTGCGTATATAAATGAATCTAAAAAAAGAAAAAAAAATAGGAAAGAAACAGGCTGCCCTGGAGCAGTTCATGCATGATCCCACCAAGACATCAGAACTAACCAGTGATAACTTTATCCCCTCCCAAAAGGGGATTCTGGACCAGTCCTTCTCAGGGACCCCTACTGAGTTCATCTCATCACGACATAACCTCTATTAATAGAAGACGGCTTTGCTGAAATAATCTTTCTTTGATTTTACCAATCACATTGGCCCACCCTCTATTTGTTAACATTTTCAAATTTGCGCAAGCCCGTGCTGATTCTTTCTGCTTGCTATACAGGACATTGCCCAATATATGAATCATATAAGCAAACAACTAGGTTTTTATAGATCTTAATTTTGTTTTTTAAAAATTTATATGAATCCATATGACTATTGACAAGTACTCATGTGACTGATGGGTTTCACTCACATCTGCTTACATGTAAACTGCACAATATCAAGAAAACAGCTGATTACTAAAACCTTCCAGAATGACCGGCTTTACTTGCTTCCCGGTCGCACAAACTATGTCCTGGTTGTCCCTCTTCATTAAAGGAGCTCCGATTCACTGAAGAGAATTCAGAAAGATCATGCTTAAACTCAAATAGAATAGAAAATGGGAAATCCTGTGTGTCTGATATTGCAATATATAAGAAACTTAGAAAATGATTCCTGAAATATCAATAGCATTGAGGTTATCTTGATGAATCTCCAGGATAAATTTTCCCACTGAAAGGACTCTTTCCCTGAAATTTTTTTTGTCAATAACTTTTTCTTAGCTTTCTTCCAACTTTTAAATATCAATTCTGTAAGCCCCTGCAGATCTACAAACCCTTCCTACTTGTCAAGTAGGACAAGTCTAGTCCATGAGTCATGTAAGAAAACCAATCAGATACATATATTTGTTAATTTTTAATAATAGATGTACAAACACTTGACCCTACAAGTAAGATTTACTCGCATCTACTGACATGTGTACACTTGTATGTATCAAGCAACATAGCTAGTCAAAATGAATTCTCTTCTCTCTCTTGCAAATAAAGTTAAGAACTGAAACACTTCCCAAATTACCTCTTTTATTTTCTTCCTTGTTACAGGAGAAATTTCCTGTATGTCCTTCTTCATTAACTGGGTTCAGCTTCACTGAAGGGAATTCAGAAACATGATTTTTTTTTAACTCAAATGAAAAATAATTGGACAGCCTGACACTATACCATAAAGAAAATACAAAAGTGATTCATGAAAATATCACACACCCTAAAGAATTCAATGTAATAGAAAATAAACATAAATATCAAACTATAATATAATTATGACAAATTTATGCTGCAATTAATCATACATGAAGCAAATTCTGTTACCACATTGTTAAATAAGCTTTTCACATTCGTAAAATAATATTTAAATAGAACAAAGTAAACACAAGAATAAATAATTGTGGTGATATACTTTAAAGTGAACAACAATTTGAAATCATGATCAATTTTCTGCACAAGAATTTCATACTTGATCAAGGCATAGAGTGGATTTAAAATGTGTAATAAACAGATTTCATAATATGAGCAGAAAATGCACATTTCTTTTTTACTTCATACTTACTTGTAACTAGGAATCCAACAGACGCAAGCAGAGCCAGGCAAATGACTCCCAGAATCACTGCAATGATTTTCCACAAAGAAGATGGAGCAGAATGGTCTAGAGAAAAGAATGAATACAACTTGTGATGTCAACCCGATGGCTTGTCAATTTGGATGTCTTGGATGTGCATTTTCCAGTGACCCCAGCAATATCCCGAAAATCAGCTGCAGAATGGGATCAGCGGAAACACTGGTTTGCTTCAACCTGAGTTTCTCTCACCAAATGTCATTTCTTACATTTCAAATCTCAAATGAGGAAAAGGCTTGTATAACCCAATGGCAAGCATATCTCTAACTATAACTATTTCCTTCCTCTGTTTCTTCAGCCCCAGCAGCAAGAGAATATCATACTCTCAGATAACTTTCACTCTTATCTTATATCTAAAGACAGGCTTCCCCCCTCCCATGTTTGACTTTTGAGTTTCTGTTATTTTTATGTTAAGTAGTCAGTGAATATTTTTTAAAATAAGGCAAAAACTAAATGCTAATCTACATAAGGAAGAGGATAGTTGAATACTGGGTAGCAGAGATTAAGGTAAGAGATCCAGA